TATATATAAGATATGAGAAAATTAGATAGCGAGCGAGAAGGAACGTCAAAATGGGGTGGCTGCTATGTTGACTGCTCGTGCTGTGTTTTATTTCAAAACCAGACATCTATCAGTAAAAACGATGATAACGTCAAGCAAAGAAATATGATCATTCTTCAATTACAATCATTTATGAATACGTTTGCCTTACAATAATTATCATTCACTGAATAGCACTACCTAGTTGAGCAGCAATTACCGATAACTGATTAGCATAACTTTCACAGTAAAATTCAGTGACTACAAAAAACTAGTTACCAAAAAATTACCTTCTTAAATTTAAATGTACTTTGTACAACTAATTTTTTGCTAGATGAGTCTATTTCAAAACTTCAAGTGCTTCTTCTAGGTTAGAGAAGAAATCAAGAGTGTAATGGCTAACAAATACAAAATCAAAAAATTAAAGTTATTGTTGATGAAATGCGTAGCACATCACCTCTTAACACCATTTTAAATGCAGCTAGTTCTCTTGAATTGAAGCCCTTGCATTTAAATTATATTGAGACTTACGATTTGATTGTAAAGAATAAATTGTTTCAGTGAAATTGAGGTTCAGCAGTTGAAAATGTTTTATTTATTTTGCTCTCTTCAGACCTTGAAAGTTGAAAAAAATGAAAACACGAGAGCATGTAGAGCAGTTGTTCAGTATTTAACTCAATGTTTGAAATTCAATCAGGTTTTCACTAACAAAAAGTTTCGCAAAAATGTTTCAGAATCAAATTTTATTTTCAACATTCTATTCACAATCAAACTTTTAATATGATGGCAAATTAGCATCTTCTAGTTTAATACTTTGTGATGCCCTAGTCCACATCACTGAAATTTCCTGAAAAGTGGTACTTTTACAGCTGAGCAAAATATTTTAGTGTTTATGTCTCAAAAAAGTAATATCTCGCAAGCCATTATTTTACTTGATGTGGAATGTTTAATAATGATTTTTACTCTTTGCTCTTTCTACTTATTCTTCAGAAAAATTTGTCAAAACAAGTTATAAAATTCTTTGAGCAGTTTTAGTTGATATTTAAAAAGTAAATGTGAAAAAAAGCTTATGATTGCTTTCAATGAATTTGCAGAACTGCTGCGGCGCTTGTTCTCTACTGAGTTTGGAAAAATATCCATAAGTGGTTTATTTATTGAATTCATTGTATTAAAGTCATGATAGTATTTGTGAGCGATTACAGAACTGATTACATGATAGGAAAATACTCTGATCACGAAATTTTTTGATTTGGAACACTTATACGAGTCGAAATCATTTAACAAGATATTTCTCAGCAAAAGTATATACTACAAAATATAATGTGATATCAATGAAATTGCGAACTGCGAAAAAAGCCAAGCAGTATGATCACTAAATTACACTGGAATTTCGTTTTCAAAAATCAAAATTTAATTTTTTATAATAGTTGTGCTACCATTTTCCTTGAAATGAGCTGAAATTCTTATCCAATGTTTCATTTTATGCATCATTTACTTGGATGTATGGCATTTTCAACCAAGTGGTTCTGTCTAATCATACTAATGATTACTATACTTGCTGTATATATTTATCATATTTTTACACCATATTTATCATACTGATACGTTACGCAATAATAATAATAATAATAATAATAAATTGTTGATAATATAGTTGTTGCTAATGCTAACTCAAATGTTTTTTAAAAAGCAAATATTTATTTCAAATCGGCTACATTTTATTTGTCATTGCGCATCAAAAATCAAACATTGATTAATATTTACGATGGCCAACATTTTTCAAAAAATCTTGTTTGATCAATGGATTTTGTGTAAAACACAGAAAATAGCTCCAAGCTAATTTTATCACGAACGATTAAAACATTCATGAAAAAAACGAGGAAATAATAATAGTTTAATCCATAACTTTTAAGTATAACTCGCACAAAAATTAAATGTTTCATTTTCATTTAAATATTTGAGATAGAGGAAGAATTTACCAAGTTCAGCTAATGACTACTTGAATTTTTTCTCAAAATGTATCATGCGAACTTGTGTTCTGTCAGCAATTCTAAACTGAGTCTTCAAATTTGAGTATTTTCACGCACAAAATTTTTGATAAATACGCCATTTTTTAGATTACTAAAACATGTAATTTGTGAATGAATTTTGATATTACAAACCAGCTTATGAAAGAAGTGTTTAGAGCAAAACAGTTACAAAAGATTTAAGTAAGTTTAAAAAATTGAGAAGCATGAAATTATGAATAACAATAGGCTTCTAAAATTTACGCATAAAGTTAAAAATAAATTCTAAAAAACGATTTTTTCAGATTTTGATGCTAAAGACAGAATGCACTTTATGAATTTGGTCATGGTATTGCAGCTATCATAAACAAAAGGAAGATTGAGTTGTTATTTGTAAGCTTTGATTATCCTACTGGGATTCAGCACGCAAGAGTTAAGCAAATATGCATTGCTTAAACTTTGTAGCTCTACAACTCAGTGTTCGCTTACGCCATTTAAGAAGCTAACTCCTCTTTATCCTTTTATTTTGATCTCGGAATGCATGAGATGTACCTATCACTTATTGCATTTAGTATGATGACAAAATGAATTTTCACCTACTGACTAGCGGTGATTTATGAAATAATAAGCTATTTTACAGTAATATACATTATTAATTCTTTTAAGTAAAACGTTTCATTTAATATAAATTGGTTTAATTCTATTATTACACACTTTGAAGTTATCTAAAGTGAATTCAGATTAATTAATTTGATACAAAAGAATGATTGGAATCATGAATACATCTTAAATTGTTTTATTTGAATACTTAATATGACACATCAAAATAATTTTTTTCAGTGATCGAGTAACACAATTTAGAAATAGAATGCAAGAGAAAACAGGGCAGCTTTTATTTCTGTAATTAAGTAGTTCACAATATAGATCGGTTAAAGTGCAATAAATTGGTTTTGAGTATTATGCACGCTCAGAATGCAAGCAAGTGAAAACCAAATTTTTGTTCAATATGGAAATTAAAACTTCTGTGATTCAAAGCCTCTAACTGTTTCATTGTAAATAATATAAGTGCTGCTTATTTGAACTTTTAGGCCTCGAACTTACAATTAGCACAATTCCTTCCTCCAAGTGGAACGAAATTAGTGAGTGAAGTGATATCTTAATCTTTTTTCAATGTACCGAAAAGTATTATATTTTTAAAATCTGATCAAGAATATCAAAAAGTTGATAAAATAGACTGAAATGATCATTGTAGATATTGCTGTCAATAACAATGATGATAAAGTCAGCAATGTTTAAGCAGAAAAATGGTCATTTTATGTTGCTATTAACTATTTTTAATTCTTTACTTCATTTCTTCAGCTCAAGCAACAATTCGATTAGCTTTTAAACTTTGCACAATTTTACAAAATACAATAAAGCATTGCAAACAGCCACCTGGAACTGTTTACTGACATGCTTTTATTGAAATTAAATTTTTCATATATTTTTCCATCACTTGTAACTATTACCGGCTGTCAGTAGGTAATTTATCTTACCCTTTTACCACCTCATCCATTTTTCTTGGAGCCCATCAGTATATCAAAAATACTCTTAGAGCGTAAGCAATCTGTTATTGATGTTCTGAAGAGGACACTGGTAAATGACCTCCAGTTTCTAACTTTCATATCAATGAATTGATAAATGACAATTTTTTATTTAGAAGCTAGATTCAAAAAGCCAAGCATGACCTGTGATAGGATTAATTCCTTCAAGAATTATCCACTGTATTTTATAGCTTCTTCATAGTTTTTCAATAAAACTGCCCATCTTAAGGTTATGCTAATCAGAAACCTGCTGATCCCCCTGGCATGCTATGCGTTTCAATATACTTAATCAAATATTTGTTGTTAACTGAATCAAACGCTCTTCGAGGTTATACTACGTTAGTGTACAGCTAAGTTTCATGCTCTCTGCATACCTCAACAGTGTCGGGTCTTTTGCACCTTGAACCCGATTAAACGTTCTTAGGTGATTATCCACAAGTAGTCCCCTCCTGATCACATCCAACTGCATGACTTCTGCCCCACATTTCATTATTAACTTCAGAATTAACTTTGACATACAGGTTATTGGCCTGTAGTTGCCATCTTTTACTTAGGACACTTTTTGGAAAAGGTACGTCGTCCCTTTGTAGAGCCATGGATCTTATTCTTCCTCATCCAAGCAAATCCACCTTGTTATTTTGTACAGATGTAAGGTGATGCACTTTTCAGTGAAGAAGTTACAGACTCCAACGGGACCGCCGCCTTTCAGTTGTGCAAATAAGAAACTATCTTCCCAAATTCGACTTCAGACGAGAAAGTACTATGCACTTCATAATCTGAACGAATTCTTCCAGATATTCGTTGTGGCGAATGTCATCATCTTTTCCCATTCCGAATTTTTCACATAATTCGCTTTCTTCTTCAATTCTTGGAGGTAATAGCACACACGAACTTTTTGCGCTCTACAGGGATTGACACAATAGACATATTCCTTTTGGCATTTTCATGAAACGGTGAGAGACCGCTTTCAGCACCTCTCCTGGCCACTTGCTGTGTAAACCCTGGATTCTACAGACGAGTGCCTCGAGCATGATCATTTTCCTGGCAAATGATTTCGGTATACTGGTAAAGAGCTCCTTCACGAACTTTTTTTGCAACCGCATTCGTTTTCTTATTGTTTTCATTTATGATTGTAGACGAGAGTTTTCTTCTTTTACCCAACATTTTATGCTTCCTGAACACATCCGATTAAAGTGTTTAGATTTTAATCTCTCCGAATAAATCATCCAAGTATTTTCTAAATCACATAATGAGTCAGTTTTTTAAATTTTACAGGGCTGGATAAATTTTACTGAGTTTGCATAATGCTGAAACTTGGAGCGCCACGAAACAGTATATTGCCATTGATATGCGACTTCAATACAAACACTGATGATCGCACTCGAGTCAACAAAAATAATATAAAATCGTCGTTTCAGCGAACCAAACGAGGTCAACGTATGCATCATTTGGATTCATGCCAATCACAGGTAACTTCTTTTCTGTATATATAATTTCAATATTTTGTTGTGAAGGGTTTCTTGCTTACGCAAAGGTTGTTTAGGGAGGAGGACAATCATGGAATATTAAAAATGAAGTAGGAGTATTATTAGCACTAAGCAAAACCTCATTATTCTAAAGTTTATCTTCATAAACAGCCTTTAATCAAATGAGTTATTTGATTCCAATGAATGAACGATTCTGTTTATTCTACTCCACTGAATTTGAATCATAATTTTAATGCCTGTCCAATATTAAAGTTTTTATTGTTTCCATATATAAATCGCAATATTATTGAAAATAGTGACAAATCAGAAAAAATTTTGTTCTCTGTTCTTTGGCAATATCAAACATATTAAAAACACAAACGTCTGCTATCACATTATATTTTTAAAACTATAATTTAATTGATTCTGTAAAAATTGCTTTACTATCTAATCGCTTAATTTGTGTTCTTCAACTATAGCTAAAGAAATCAAAATATTTACTTTTTTTTCCTTAATTTCTGACCGAATCACAACATATAATGGTAAGAACTGGTTAAGATTCTTTCGAATCTGAGACCACTGACCTTGTGATAGTTATCATATCAGGTCAAAAATAATTACGATTCTGACGAAATTGAAGAAGGATCGTTAAATTTTCATCATTAATATGATAGAAATTTAACTTAACTATTGATTAGTATTACCATGAATATGAGATTCATTTTATATATACAGGGTCAATTTTAGAAAAAAAGTTGTAATTTTTTTAAATAATAATTATTCATTATAAGCACCACAAAATGTTGGCCAAACTTGGATGTTGCTCTCAAAGATTAGCTCAAACTTCTACAATTTCTGTAAATGGATATTTTTTAAGTTTTTGCTCAATGGCGCGTAGAGACTTAAAACCGACTAAAAGCTTTCTTAACAGCATTCATATGTCTAAAAATGTTTTTTATGAAAAGTCTAAGGTTTTTTTGGTCCTAACGAATGAAATTAGTGTAGCGGAAATAATTTGAATGATGACTTTTATGTCATATTAGTTCTTTTTTTGATTAAAAGTAAAGTTATGTGGTTTAATTACTTTGAAAATTTGAGGGTCACATCCAGCAGAAGCAGCATTTACATGCGCACTCCTTGCTGCGCTTGCCACGATCAGTTTCAAATCCAGATTATAACAGTGAATCTATTGCTGAAAATGAAATCACCGATCAACATTATCCATTGCTTCATGAGTCTTATTACTTTTGCAATTCTTTCAGGTAAAAACTCAATCGATCATGAAACGAATATTGTAGTGTGGTACTTTGAACAAAGTAACTGTACATAACACATGAAAAAATGGAAGTAAACAAATTTGTGTCTACATTTTATCATGAAGTAAATGAAAAAGTCTTTTTTATTTGAAAAAAGTACCAAAACCTGAAAGTAACATTTCACACGTTATTCTAACAAACAAATCTTTCACAGTTGGTGCTAAAATATCAACTGATTTGATGTTATGATGCTTTAATTATTCCATACCAGTTTTCAAGTATTTTCGAGCTCTTTAAGAAAATATTTGCATAAACAGTTCTCTGTATCACTTTTTAAGTATTGGTTCACAACTACAATAATTTTTTTAAATGAATAATAGTAATAATAATAATTTATTATTTAAATAAATAATTTGTTGTCACTCAGCTAAAATAGTTTCTTTAATAAATAATAATGATTAGTGATCTCACTCATTCTCCGACTAAATAATAATGATAGTAATGATAAAAATAGTAACATAACAAGTATATTATTATTATCATCATTATATTCAAGTGAAAAAAGTGATATTATTAATCTTTTTTGGGAAAAAACAATCTTTCCTTCTCTTTTCCTTATTGGTATGACTGATATCTTTTGAGTAGAATAAAACTATTTCCATCGAAAGCATAATGAATATTCAAGATCACGTTCGACGAGATCATCCCGCCTGATTTCTCAACGCGCTTGCACACAACAATGCTTATCCTTCAATTATGAAGCAAATTTAGAGCTGTTGCTTCTTTTAAGTGAAGCAGGTAAATTTCACTTAAACCTCTTAATTTACTTTTATAAAGACATAGTAGATGATATATTTTTAATTTTTAGCCAATTTTTATGTTGACAAAATGCAGATGCAAACCTAATATGATTTGGAACAAAGCAAAAAAAAGATATGCATTTCTAATGAAAAATATCACGAAAACTTTGCAGCATATTTTTTTTTATCAATATCATAAAAAATAGTGTACAATTCTATTTGGTGAGTTAAAATAGAAATGAAATCCTTCTAATAATTTCTAGATTTCATTTCTATAGTACTAAATTCGTATTTTGAAGGCAACGAAGATTCGCTGACTAAAATACAAATATTTTATTGGACTAGAAAAGTTTAGTAAATCATTGTACGAAAAAGTTAAAATTATTTTTATTGCATCTTATTTTTACTATGAATTTGTTCTCATAAATATAATCATTCCAATTCAGTTGTCATGATTAAGTCGTAAGAGTGAAACTAATTATAATTAGCTTGCGTAGTGCTGTATTCAAATTGCAAATATCGAATCTTATATGAGCCTTAACTCCCTTGTTTGATATTCTTACAAGTTCTCTTAAGACTGACTATTTGCAAATGTCAGCATTTCATATATGTAAAGCAGAATGAAAACATTCAAAATAAAGTAAATATAATATAACGATTGAGCAAATTTGGATTTGCTCGGTTATAATGAAAATTTTGTTGAAAATTTGAATGAAATTCGCAAATATTGATGAAATTTTAGAAAATATTTTGCATAAATTGTGTATGTAAAAAGGCGATTCATCATCACAATGATAAGGTTACTTAAATTGTGAAACGTGTAGTGCAGTCTTATTGTGATTGTTTATAATGAAACATTCAAAATAATTACAAGTTATTGAAAAAGGACATTGATTTTAAAATGTATTATTTATAAACAGCTATTTTGCAACTCCTCTTCCGACTTCATCCCACAAAACAAGAAACAAATCAGTTGAACTCTAAATTATTCCCGTCTTCATTTTCAAGTAATTCATCAAATCCACTTCAGCTATCACCAGGTACACATGATTTTGCTTTCACATGCGAAATTATGACAGCATTTTTGATATTTTCATGTATACCCTTGAAATCGCTCAGTTTTAACGCCAGTAGTCAAAAAGTTATTTGCTTCCAAAATGAACAAAATATTTGGTTACAAAAATATTCTCCAAAAGTTGCAACAAGTGATTGCTTACGTTATGAGTATCAATTTCCTTAGTGCACTTAGGAGATCAAATCGAAGGATGTCTATATTTGTGCCAACTTCACTAACCGTTGATCTGGATAATAGACGACCGTCTTATATCTTCAGTAATCCTACAAACCGAAATTGCAGTAATTTGCACATCCTCAGTACTGCTTTAAATGGTCAGTTCATTAACGAAATTTGGATGCACGACACTCCATAGAACTGTAATCAAAATATTTACAGTAACAGAATTTCAGCATATTTCACACACAATCTTTTTTTTTCGATTAACAGTTTTTATTGCCAAAAATCAATTTTTTATGCATATGCAAAATAATATTTGTATGTAAATGCCAATGCATCATTTTTAAAACATTCGAAAAAAAGTAACCAATCAGTACAATTAGTTCATTGCATGCAAATGAGCTTTTTTTTCCGTTCCCTAAAAATAACAATAAATTTGATAATTTTGATGAGTTTTGTTTGCTTTCTTCTATTGCCCTCAAGGCACGATGAAGCAGAATAATGGAAGTCATTCTAAATATTCAACAGATTTCAATCCATTAGAATGGAGAGCAATATAAAATTTTTACTTATCAGCAATTTTTGATCGTGCCTAATCTGTTCAGAACAATGCTTTATAAATATTTTTTATATAGTACTTACAGGGACGTGTAACATAAACTGTGATAATGATAACGTACTGTTAATTGTTCCCAAAAATTGATCAAACAATAGCAATATTTGAACGTAGCAGAGCAAATTACTTTCTAGTTCGCCTTATCTTTGCTTCTTGTTTTTTCTAAACGTTTCTCGATAATCTATCAAACTTAAGACTAAGAGTAGATTTATTTGTTGCAAAATCATGCCACCATACTTCGCTTATCAAACTGTTACATCCATGAAGATCTGAACTAGTACATTTTCACAAACAAATTATTTTAGTTTTTGGTTTTATTTGAAATTGCAGATCTTTTTTACTGAAATACATAAACCATGGCAAGTTTTCTTACTACTAAAGATGATGGAATGCGAAGTTTATTTAACAGATTATTTCTCGCACGTATTTCATTGGGTCTAATTTTTCTAGCATTTAGTGCTAACCCACAAACCCCTAAAACTTTTTACTTATGCTTTATGAATTATTGAAGCTTATTAAATCTATTTCTATTATTGGAATGGAGGGCAAAAGTGGTGAAAATTAGTATCATACGAGAAATAATATAACTGCTTACATGACAGAAACATCACTAAGACAATAAAAAGTAGTGCAAAACTCTTTCTTGCTCGTTGCTCAAACAAACCACTTTTTTTCTTCTATTTTTTAATCAAAACAGTGGACATCAAAATTCCTAAAACTTCTCATGTCAACTCGATTTTAATTCTCAAAGCAGTAATCTTGGATATATTATATATAAAATTGCTTTATTGTTATGCCCTTAAAAAAATCCAATTACATAATAATAAATGAGATATAGACAAATCTGTTTCAGAGTAATAGATATTTTTTTCTACACACATAAAAATGTTTGAAAATAAAAATAAAAAAAATTGAAAGCTGTGAAGCACTTCCGAATTTCGATGAGAGAATATAGGAGGAAGGCTGGCTCAGAATATGAAGGAAAGAACGTGATCACTTCAGATTTCATCTTATTAATTCGAAACCAAAGCTCGCTATGGATTTATTATTTTATTTCATCACAGATTTCAATAAGC